ATTATCTAGGTGACATCTGGATGGCATCGATTTTCAACTAAATCTCCTGCATTATAGTCGTTGATTATTCTCAGTTTTAACTTTGCAAGTTCGAAGTAAGGTTTGGTGCATCGAGTTTTACACCAGTTTTATCACACAAATACAATTCCCAATAAAAAAAATTTTTTGCAAAATATTAATGCAATCCAAAAAGTAGTCTAATATTTTTCTAGTCATAAGTTTAATTGCAGTGACTTGGAATGATACTCAGATATCATGATCAAGGAGATGAAAGTAATCAGTGGAAATTCACTGCATGAGAGTTTTGCAAGCGACATCCAAAATTAGCATTGACTCGTCGTATCCTAATGATCAATAGTAGAGGTAAACAGATATAGACAGCAAGGACTTTGATCACGATCTAACAGGGAAAGGCATCCGCCAGCATGATTATCAATAGCAATGGATTTAGACTGCTACAAGGACTTCTCCTCATCTGGATTTAACTGGGAAGACTTTAATAGTCTAGTTTAAAGTGTATTACTCTGATTTTAATACGTTCTTGGACTTTTTGGTACCCGACATCAATACTCATCAATAGTGTAGGACGGATGCTATGAATAAATTTTCCCAACGGGCATAGCAAAGAGGAGCTAGCATACACTATATTTGACAAAAAAGACAGAACTCACCGAACGGGACGGGGTACTTGGGGGTCTTTACTTCTTAGTAGCAGGGTCTCTGTGGAGAGTTCTATCCCACATCGACTTTGGGGGGTTTGGGGGGTTTAGTTTACAAGTGCCCTGGACGCCTTCAAAAGTTGCCGGCTTTTGAAGGTTGTTCAGGGATTCCGTTTATTTGCTAAAAAGTCTGAGTCTTCTCAGAATTGACAAAAAAAAAAATACACTATATTTATAAGTTTTGCTATTAATTTCTACCCCAAGTGGATTGAAAATTATTGCTAGAAGTGACTTGGGTGCTATGGATCGAGCAACCAGTCCATTTGCTACTTCACTAGCCCTAACCAACAAATTGCATAATTCAAAATAATCCAATCCTACAATTCTAAAAGTTCACCAACAAAATGCATAATTAAAGCATTACGTAATCAAAACACATTACACAATTAAAATATTGAATACTTCAAACATTTGTTTTTATCTTCTCCACTCCTTAAAAAACTATCAACTCATATTTCGTAATACAAATAGGTCGGTCCACAACCAAATATAAAAGCTCTAAAATTTGAAAAAAACAAAAACAAAAATTAGTAGAGTGAAGAAGCACGCAAACTTTATGAGCAAAGAAAAGAAATTTTGGAGGAGGTAAAGAAACAAAAGCCAGTAGAGTGAATGGAATCAATGGAAGTTAATGTAAGAATTTGGGGAGTTAGGTTGATTAACTTTCTAAGTTCATATTATAAAAAATAAGAAAAATTCTATACTAAATGGCATACGATCGAAGCGGCAGAAACAAGTTAAAGGATGACCTACTTTTTTTATTTTAAGAATTCTCATATTTGTGTTTATCACTTAAAAATATCATGATTTACAGTTGCTTGATTTGCTAATAGTGATTGTACTAAAAGGTTACTAGTTGACGTTTAGATACTAGTTACCCGAACCACCTTATGCTTATGTAAGCAGGTTTGGATAACTACGGTTTTCGAAAATCAAACACCATACCCTAACCCATTCAAATCGGTTTGAGTAGCCCAATAATTTTCAAAATCTTGGATTGATTACCCTATTTGTTTATTTGGATCAATTCAATTCTCTCCGTTTCCACTTTATTTTATTTTATTTTCTTTTTTTAACACCCCTAGTAGTGACTGATTTTATCACCTTAGGAAAATTCCTAATACCTGATGAAGAGTGTACCACAATTAGTTGGAGTTCTAAAACAAACCAAAACAGAAGTTCTTTCTTCTAACTGGCTTCCAAATTAGTAGAATGGGCAACACAAGGAGAAGCATATACTATTTTAGATTTTGATTTTGACAAAAAAAAAAAAATCAATCTGTTGATGTTTTCATTTGCTTTTAGCGTAGATCTTTAAGCTTTTTACCAGGCAAAGAAGCTAAAATATGAACTCTAGCCAAGAGTAGATTTTGCTGACCGTGATTGATTAGCATTTTACCAAACTAGTTTTTTCAGCCTCACGCAATGCGTGAGGATGCCCTAGGTCTATGTTAAACACGTTCAAATGAAGACAAGTGAATTAATATAAAATAGTTATATATTAAATACATGATGGGTGCTAGTAACTATGGGGAATTTAACTTTAGGTAAATTGGTTATTGTCATTATTCGTTTATTCAATTTATTTATGAAGTTGAAGAGATTTTTGTACCTACTGGACTTGGACTACTAATTGACTTAATGTGAGATATCGATACGATATATTAGTATTGATATATTAGTATTTCATATCTGCAATAAATTATCAACGATCTAACAGTCGTCATGTGTGTGAGTGTGTATTTTTTCCTAATTGCACTGATAAATAAGACCTTGAAATTAGGTTATCTAACATTCTTAATGTAGCATTAATCAGTAAGTAATGACTAAAATTCTGTAGAATTATAAGGCATGGTTATCTAACTTTTTTAATGTAGCATTAATCACTAAATAATGCCTAAAATTATAAAATGGGTTTATCATTTTCTATTGTTTGAATGAGCTTTCAAACATATTTAAAAATATTTTAGACCAATGTAAAATTAAATTAATTTTTTTTGTATATTCAATGGCTTTTTTCTTTTACATTAATAGGTTTGGATGCATGACATATAATTTTTATTCAACTGTATCCCACCGTGAGCTCGGTTTATATATACTATCATTTCTCCTAATCAAGATTTCATATTGGATCCTTTTTTTTTTTTTGTTGCAATTCAGATGATTGTTTGATTGATAGATTAAAAGTGTTCAAGAATGAAGGAAGCAACAATGGTTTCTTTGGACAAGACATCATCTATTGAAAATGAGTCTCGGATTCTCAATATTGAACGACTTCAACTTGCAGGGGTAAATATACATATTTTCTTATTTTTCTTTTTTCTTCCCTTTTTTTGGTTGTCCATTCTTTGTTTATTTTTGGAGATTTTAATGATTTTGGTTTTGATAATTTGTAAAGGAGGCAGCACTTTATGTGGTGAGTACGAGAAGCATGGAAAAAGTTCTTTGAATTTTCACTAAGATAATGGCTTAGATATATACAATATCCAACGATTTCTTGAGTTAAAAATTTTTCCTTTCTATTTTCTAGTTTCTTTGGCTCTATAATTCTTACTCATTTGATGATTCTTTCGGTAATTTGGTTGATATTTTTTTTTGTTGTAATCTATATCATAAGCTGGAAAATTATAGGTTATTTTGTATTCTTAAATCATGTGCTAAAATAGGTGAGTTTCTCTGTTTCTTTTTCTTTTTTTTATAAAAGTGGTATTCAAAATCAAGAGATAGTTGGAATCTTGAAATGGTGAATTCCAAATCGACTTGTGTTTACGGATAGATTGAAATAAAATGCTAAGAAATAAAGGATGGATCTATTTTACAAATGGGGTGACAAACTCGTGTTTAAAATTAGAAAATATGTATTTATAGAATCATTTTTTCATACTTGAAAGAAAAAATTAGGACTATTGTAAAAGTTCAAAAACTATCTGTGTTGTCCACAAAAGAGAACAATAAGTCAACAAAAATTAGAGTCAAAAAATAACAAAATTACAAAACAACCAAGCAAATATAACACACATGTTGAATGAAAGGAAAATAAATGGCATGATTGGAAAATATGGCAAACACCTAAGGCTAAACGAATACTCGTAAATAGCTAAGGTGGCCCATCTCTCCGGATCACAAGGGGCAACAATGACTCAAACAAAAGAGGTACAACGAACAAATAAATTACAAAGGAATCACAATACTATAGCATGCATCTTCCGGTGTCTTGAGTAAGAAAGAAACAGCAAATGGCATTATCGAAAAATGAAGCACCACTAAGGCTAATGCTAATCACATGAAGAGGAAATGTTTCCATCCAAGAGAGCCACGCGGACAGAAGTGAATTTCCAGCAAAGCCACCACCACGCACCACCACTGAATCGCAAAAGACCAAACCACCCCTCAAGTTCACACAAATCGCACTATAATCAGCCCAATTTTACTGTAGCAATCCGAACTCCCGCTTTTAGTATAGTAAAGATTTACATCAAACGTTAAAAAGCACTGTATCTATAGCTCTGCTATTAACGTCTTTCCCCTAGTGACGGGAAAATAATGGCTGTAGTGACTGGTTATATCACATTCGGAATAGTTTCCAAGCTCTCAGAGAGTGTAAGATATATAATTATGTTGGTTTATGGATGCGATCTCTTTTTCCTGACTAGCTCTTCTATTATATTAATAACGTAGCCATGAATAGCCTTTTTCTTTTTTGATAGAAAGAGAGGCAAATTTATTAATAACATACTAAATCTGCTTCAAGATCAGAAATAACAAAGCGAGGTATAGATTTATTCCAAATACAAGACCATGAATAACATTTTACTAGACACCACAAAAGGAGTAATAGAAATATGGACCAAGGTAATCTATAGGATGGACTTTTTTTATTTAGTTATAAAATGGAAAATTTTATTTATTTTAAGAAAATTTTGACAGAATTTCCCCTTATAAATGGACGAAAAGTCCCTACCAACAAACCCAAATTGAAGAAAAATATCACATGGCACTTGCTACATTCTAACTCTACGAAAGTTTGGAAATCCCAATTGATCAAGAGCAAAATCACCTCTCACCAAGTGAGGCACTTCACAGAATAATTCATATCTCGAAATAATTCGCGATTCCTCTCCAACGTTTGCAAGACGGTACCTTCTGTACTTTAGCAGCTCCTGTAGATGCCCTCGTGACCGCCATGAACGCCGTGCTTTCCCATGAATGATTCCCGTACAACTTGTGTCCTAAAGTTGGGAAACGACATTGAATCTAGAGCTACAATGGCTTTAACCGCAGATGGCCGCTCTTGAGGTAAGTTAAAAACTCGCTGTGATCTCAAGTTCAAGCTGGCTAATTTATCTGCTGCACCGTTCGCCTCTCTAAAGACATGTGAAATCTGAACCGAAGCCTGAGCTACTATTTTCCTGATATGACGTATTGTATTGCATAGGGGCCATTTGGCCAGAGAGTTCGATTAAATCAATCTCACCAACACCGTCGAATCGACTTCAACAGCAAAACCATCCATGCCTCTTTGAACACACAAAGTCAAACCAAATAATTAAGAGGGAAAGGCTCTCTGCCGCCAAGACATCCATGCCACCAAATTCTTTGTAAAAGGCAAAAATTACCTCCCCTGGTGGTTCCTGACCAGCCCGCCCCCAGCGTTCACCTGTTGCACGACACTCGCATTTGTGGGATGGACTTGATAACTTTGACAAAAGTAATGTGAACATTGTAAGCATATTAAAGGAAAAAATTGCCATTTTTTTTTTTCCAAAATCGAGTAATGGTTTACTAATAGTCCAATTATAAAACATGAGACTTAGATCCTTACAAAATTGTTTATAATTTTTTTCGGTGGCTAAAATCTGCGGTCATCTATACTGGATCTAAATCTGTGCATATGTGGCTTGTACTATTAAAATTAGGTGTTGCAAATTTAAATCGAAAAGAGAGGGGGTGTGAACTTATCAATTGACAAATAGTCTTATGACACATTAACAGTTGATTTTTCCGTATCAATATAGTAGTTTTTTTTTTCCAGAAATGATAGATGAATATATTTCTACTAAAGGAGAATTTTCGTATCAATATGGTAGTCACGTCACTTTTTTTTCACATGGAAAAAGAATAGCACTTAAAAGATTTAGATTTTAATTATTGACACCAAAAGTAATTTAATAAAAGCATGCTAAGTACATTATTTCAAGATGGCCTCATAATAGCTTTTAGATCACATGCATATAGGGCTATAATTCGTACAGATGGGTATTGAATTGCGGAAGTAAAATTAATAATACCTGTGAGGATTCATAGAGAGTTTTGGTATATGCATAGTTAATATGATTTTTTTTTTTAAAGTACTAATGGATGTCCTACAACCTAGGACATGTACGCATAGTTAATTAATATGATATATGTTTCTTTTGTAGCTTAATTTGGGTGTATCTAAAAACTCTAATCATGTAATTAATTTATTAGTTTTTCTTTTTCAAACAATCTACTCACCAACTATAAGCTTATGATCATGAATGCGAAGATATACAAAAATGTTTTCCCTATAAGATCCCATAATGCTGTTGATGAGAATACTTGATGGACAAAATAACCAAGAAGCCCAATAAACTCAAGTAGTTGAACAGAATCAAAATTTTACCAAAAAAATATGAGGAAACAATGTTTTATCTGCCCCTATTGCAATACTAATTAACTATAAGTTTAGAAGATTAATTTGTCGTAGTGATTATGAAAAACTTTGTATGTGCAACTGATAAAAGTTGTTATTGTTTGTACTAATTATTTTTATAGAAATTGGTTTTAAACTTTGAAAGTTGACTATTAGAGAATTTTATCAAAATAAAAATGTATAAATGAGAAGTTATTTGATAATTATGAGTAAATATGGGTGAGTTACTAACATTATTTAAAATTATCCAAAAAAAACAACTGAAAAAGAAAAAAAAAAAAAAGGATAAACTGCGAGAGACATTAGATCAAAGAGTGTTCCCTTATCACGCACTTAGCCTGTGTACCAATATGTGATGATGGAAAGCTAAATTTAGGACAATTGTTGCATTACGGATACAAAAAAAATCACTCACACAACGACCCAATGTACACACTTAAGGTTTGTCAGAGAAAGCTAATAGTTGCATCACAATGTAAATGCCTGGAAATTGTAGTCGCATTACAATCCCTTTTTTTTTTTTTTTTTGGCTTTTTTCTTCTTCTTCCTCTAGACTACACCAGAAGTCACACTTTGCTTTTATCACATGAAAACTCTCTCTTTTCTTCATTATTTTCTTTTTTCCTGCTCTATCTTCTCTTCCCTTTTTGCTCTTTTATTTGTGTTTTTTCTTAATTTCTCTTATGTGATTGCAAATAATTCAAGAACTGAGTTTAAAGAATTTAGATAAAAGAATTTTTCTTTTAATTTGGATTTTAAATTCATTTTAGACTAGTTCTTAGCCACTAGCTAGTATCAAAGGAAGAGAAACCATTTATTAAAAAAATGATCATCAGAATTTGGCTACTTGTGCTGCAAAATATGCTCACGCTATCAATGCGTCATCTGCCAAGCCAAGGATGATATTCCAATATCATGACAGATTCCTCCGTGATGGATTTGGTTTTGGTCCTTTCAGATTTGGATACTTCAAGTGTGAGTCATTTCGTCTCTACATATTTCAAAATCGTGTTTGATTTGAAAACACTTTCCTGTAGTCATCGGAATTGATTTGGTGGTCGATGGTGACAAAGTTTGACAATTTTGCATATGACAATTTTGCATCGAAATTTCTTTCTAACACAGGACCAGAAGGTGCGGGTACATCAAAAAATAAAAAGTCTTCTGATCATGATTTTGAAGAATTTCTACCTAGCACGTGACCAAAAGGCACGGGCATGCCTTTGTTCAACTATAAAATACTGACATTAAGTGAATAAAACGGGACACAAATATAAAAGACGAAGAAAACCAAATTAAAATTAACATCAAATAGAGTTGGGTTGCCTCTCAACGAGCGTCTTTTTTTAACGTTTTTGGCTAGATATGGCCAAATGTCATTAGTCTGAATACGTTGGATCTTCAATCACATCACCTCCACCTCTTCAACTAGAAAACCCTCATAATAAGGTTTGAAACGATGCCCATTCATCACAAATTTCTTGTCCGTTTTCAATCTTTGTATTTCCACTACACCATAATGAAAAACATGAGTAACTACAAAAGAACCAACGAGCGCATTTCTTTAACGTTTTTAGTTAGACATGGCCAAATGTCACTAGTCTAAATATGTTGGATCTTCAGTTGTATCATCTCAATCTCTTCAACTAGAAAACCCTCATAATAAGGTTTGAAGTGATGCCCATTCATCACAAATTCTTGTCCATTTTCAATCGTTGTATTTCCACTACACCATAATGAAAAACATGAGTAACTCCAAAGAACCAATCCAGCGAAAACGTAATTTACTTGGAAATAATTTAAATCTCGACTTCTAGAGATGAACTTTTTGACCAACTGCAAAGGTCTTTCTTGAAATTTGTTGGTCATGAAAAACTCTAGTTTTCTCTTTATAAATCACAGCATTCTCATATGCTTCATTCCGGACCTCCTCTAATTCTTGCAATTCTAACTTCCAACAAAACCTAGTCTCCTCTAGACCCATATTACACTGTTTCAATGCTCAAAATGCCCTGTGTTCGAACTCTACAGAAAATGATATGATTTTTCAAATACTAACATATAGAGAGACATCCCTATAGGTGTCTTATACACAATCCGATATGTCTAGAGTGCATCGTCTGACTTTTGGCTCCAATGCTTTCTATCATGACGCACCATCTTCTTAGGATGGACTTGATTTTCTTGTTCGATACCTCTGATTGGCCATTTGTTTGGGGGTGATACAAGATTAAAATCTTATGAAGGGCATTATCCTTCCTAAAAAGTGCAGCTATCGTCTTATTGCAGAAATGTGTCTTCCTATCACTAACAATGGCTCTTGGCATTTTAAAATGTACAAAAATGTTGAATTTAATAAAATCTGAAACCACTTTCGAATCGTTAATTCGAGTGAATATAACTTCTACCCATTTGAAAACATAGTCAACCGTCAAAATAATATAGAGAAAACCAAATGACGTAGGGAAAGACCCCATAAAATCGATATCCCAAACATCAAAAATCACTTTTCAACTTGTTCTTTTTCACCCTAGACCACCCTGCAGGCAACTTGCAAATCACTAAATAATTAACTATATCAGCGTACCAAGGCCAAAAAAAAGTAATAGAAAGTAATTGTTCATCGAAAAAAGCTTCTCTTAATGGAAATTCCTCTTCAATGACTGGTACTCGACTCAAGTCACCAAGTTTTCTGCTCCTCTTTTATCTCGGATTTTCAGGTCGAATTCTTATAGTAGCAGTATCCATCTAATCAATCATGGTTTCGCATCTTCTTCTTCAGCAAGTACTGCAGGGCTACATGATCCAAATACACGATAACTTTAACACCTAATATATATGATTTGAATAAAAGAAGTAAATAAAATTAATTTTTTTGTGGGGTCAGTATAGAATTTTCATTTTTTCTTGTTGCTTGTCAGTGGGCGATTTTGATGTAGAAAAAAACACATGGTGCAGGAATTGATTTGTTGACTTCTTGGGGGGGGGGGATTTTTCTCAAGTCAAGTAATGTGATGGGGAGAGAATTATCAACTATTTATGCATATGGAGGAGAGGTAGAGTATGAGTGGCTGAAGTGGTTATTTCGGATCAAACATCAGTTTCAGGGCCATTTTCTTTGCTATTCTTTGAAATTGACTGATCAATCAGAAACAGTTCTTTTCTTTCTTCTTTGCTGGTTTTTTTCAAAGAGATTTTAGTAAGTATTTTGATTTGGATAGCTAAAGAGGCCTTAAACGTGGGATGTCGCAGTGTCATGTAAAGGAGACAAATCGTCGAGCTGATATTTGCTTAAATGCTGCAAGAATCTCTTCATCATACGACGTGTTGATTTAAAATGGTTGTACATAAATTATCAATTGAGCATTTTTTGAGTTGGTAGAATTACAATAAAACTACCTTTCTTTCCGATTTATGCAACACAATGATGGGGTGATTCTATGAAATCTCAACTAACCGTTCAGTCCTCTTGAGAAATTTAGCAGAGTTTAGCAATTGGTTCCTCCTCTTGAGCAATAAAATAAATAAATAAAATTAATTTGATTTCACAATTTCAAGTGAACTAAGTCCTCCGTTATTCCTTAACTAGAATTAGAGTTTTAGTTCATTCCCGTTGAGAAAATTCCACGCAAATTTGTAGAATCGATAGCCGAAAACATGCTCAATTACAGATGAAGAGTATCCAAAGGAAGGAAAAAGAAAAAGAAAAAGAATGCCTACATCACCCTGAGAGCATCCACAATGCTATTACACTTTGTGGAGTGTAATCCACATGCCACGTCAGCATTCCACTTTCTCCTCTTTTATTACACTTTCACTCACAATGGATTACATTCCACAAAGTGTAATAGCATGGGTCCACAATTAATCAAATATTTATTTTAATAATGCATAACTCATATCCCATAAATAAATAAAGTAATTTTTAAAACTAATTTTGTTATTTTTAAAAAATAAAGTACTAACTTTCGTTAAATTTTGTACATTTTGAATTTTTTTATTTTCTAAAAATGATATTATTAATTTTTAAGTTTGAATAATATATCTTTTTCTATGTTTCAAAAATAATATATTGTTATTTTTTTAAAAATAATTATGTAGGAAATTAAACAAATATTTGATACTTCAAATGCGAAGATATCATAATAATCCATACTTAATTAATAATTCGAAATGTAATTAATTGAACTCCATAGCATAATATTACATAAGTTAAATCAAATAAAATACAAATAGGGCCCACATTCAATGGATTACACGCATCATACATGTGATGCGTGTAATCTCCATGACACGGCTCCCCATTGGAGCCGTGTCATGGAGCGGTGTAATGGCTCCCCATTACACCCCCATTGGAGCTGCCCTGATGTGTCTTGCGGCCAACCAAGAAAAGATAAAAAGACCTAATGACTACTTGGCTAGTCTCGTGCCGCCGAAAAGAAAGAAAAGTCCCTCACTGACTATTGAGTGACCTTCGGGTCGCTCTTTCGGGTTAACTCCTATGTTCGTTCTATTGAGTGGATGTGCGTGTTATTTTCAGCTTCTGAAAAAAAGACTATTGAGTAGTCTCCTATTACTACTGAATTACTACTATTATTTTAAATCAAATTATCCAACAAATTCCATCCTATCCAAAAAGGAAGAAAGAACAACAAGCCTCTGGTAAAATATTGTGACCCCACTCTTAAAACTTCAATTCACAGCTAGTTATTGCATTTCAACTCCCGAACTTCCCAGACGTGCTGAGTTTTGAATTTGACGTAACCATGCTGAACAGCAAATCTAATGGAGAAATCAGGTCTTTTAATCCTTTTTTACTCCAAATCTCTGCAACTGCACAAAGTACCAAAACTAAATACAATCTACCAATTAACGTAATATTTGGTAAGATAAAAAAGAAAAATAATCATAAAATTAATGATAAAATTGCAATCTATCAATGAGTATGATCACCTGACTTTTTTTTGTTAGTTGATAAAGCTCGTACTTTGCCCGGTTCACCTACTCCTAGTCAAATCTGATCAAAAACTGGATTTGATTGGATTTTTAAAATTCGGGTTTTTAATGTGGCTTGGATCGGATGCTTAGTCGGTTCTTGGCTCGGTCGGTCAAATCAACAGTCCGACCCGAATCCAAAATCATAGGCACTGCTTATCTTCTATAATTTCAAAGAAATTGACTAATAGGCCACCAATATTTGCGAGATAAACAAATTGTCATTGGCCAAGTCAAACTCTGACTTGATCGTGTATTGGACAAATATAAGAAGTACAGACAAAGAAGTTTCCCTATAAATCCCATAATGCTGTAGAAGAGAAGCTCAACCCAAACAAGTAGAACATCAGATAAGTTCACTAGCTAAAATGAAATCAGATTTTTCACAAATTTTTGAGCAACAAATCAGCTCATTTTTGCTGCATCCCGTCTTCTTCGCTCCTCTTCCTTTGTTATTCATTCTCTTCTTTATAAAATGGCAGTTTACTACAAAAACCAGCAGTAAAAACCTTCCTCCATCACCAAGAAAGCTCCCAGTTCTGGGACACATGCATCTTCTTGGAACACATCCACACAGATCACTTCAGAAATTGGCTCAAAAGCATGGGCCAATGATGATGCTCCAACTTGGCAGTGTCAAAACACTCGTAGTTTCATCAGCTGAAGCAGCTCAAGAAATCATGAAAACCCATGATTTGAACTTCTTGAACAGGCCTGAATCCGAGATCAATCGGAAGCTTTTGTACGATTTCAAGAATGTCTCAGTGGCACCTTACGGAGAGTACTGGAGGCAAATGAAGAGCATTAGTGTGCTTCAGCTTCTAAGTAACACAAGGGTTCAATCCATTCGTTACATAAGAGAGGAGGAAACAGATCTCTTGCTCACAAAAATCCGCGGGGGATCAGTAGCTGCACCATCATCAGGTGTCAATCTTAGTGAAATGTTCATGGCTTTGACGAGTGATGTGGTGAGTAGAGCTGCTTTTGGGAGGAAGTATAGCGAAGGAGTAAGTGGGAGGAAGTTTAGAAAATTAATGAGTGAGTTTGTGAGTGTTTTGGGAGGATTTGATTTTGGGACATTTTTGCCATGGCTTGGATGGGTTGATCGTGTTAATGGTCTAACGGCTAGAGTGGAGAGAATTGCCAAGGAAATGGATGAGTTTCTTGAGGGTGTCATAGAAGAGCATTTAAATGGTGATAGGAAGAATAATGAGAGCAGTGAACAAAAAAGTAGAGAAGATTTTGCTGATGTTTTGCTGGGAATTCGTAACAACAATGTAGCTGGCATACCCATTGATAGGGACAGCATCAAAGCTCTCCTTCTGGTAAGTGTGTCCCCAACCCCCCCCCCCCCCCTCTCCTTCCTTTCTCTCAATTTATGCTAACGTTGTCAAGTTAAAGGACTGAACAAATTATATATTCTTAAAAGTTGAGTTTCCAATGATAAAAAAACCGATTACCAATGAATTGTCACCTTTTCATAGTCTAATAATGATACAGTATACTTGTTAAGTGATTCCATGTTAGATGGTTCTTACAACGCCATTCAAGTTAAAATGCTAAAAATTGTTAAAAAACCAATTTGCAGGAGTAATATTATTGAAAGGGATTGCCAAATAATTCGTAGGACCAGCATACATCTGTTATTTTGGCATTATTGTGGGAATATATGTTTAAGACAAAAATTTTCCTGTTTCGTACTTCCAATCCTTAATTCTTAGTTCATCAAAGATGCATTTCATTCTCTAATGGAAGAGAAAATTAGTATATAAGCTTGTTATTTTGCTTTTCTATTTAGGACATCTTCTCCGGTGGAACGGATACTACCTACACCGTTCTAGAATGGGCAATGACAGAGCTTTTAAAGCATCCAAAAGCGATGAAGGATCTACAAACTGAGGTGAGAGGAATTGTCAGTGACAGACTTGAGATCGATGACGATGATTTGGAAAAGATGAAGTATTTGAAAGCAGTCATTAAAGAAACGCTACGATTACATCCTCCAATACCGTTATTGGTCCCTCGCAATGCTAGCAACGATGCTAAAATAATGGACTATGATATTTCAGCTGGAACTATGATTATCACCAATGCCTTTGCAATTGGAAGAGACCCTTCATTGTGGGAAGAACCAGATGAGTTTAAGCCCGAGAGATTCTTGAGTTCTTGCATTGATTTCACGGGCCATGACTTCCACTTGATTCCTTTTGGAGCTGGGAGGAGGGGCTGCCCGGGAATTTCTTTTGCGATGGCTACAAATGAGCATGTTTTAGCAAATCTTTTGCTCAAATTTGATTGGGATCTGCCTGATGGAGCAAAGGGCTCCGATTTGGATATGACTGAATGTACAGGTTTGACAATCCATAGAAAAATTCCTCTTCTTGCTGTTGCAACTCCAGTTTAGTGCTACAGTAACTTAGCTTAATGTAATAACTTTCCATCCTTAGAGATTCTAATTTATCAATAAACGTTTAATTTCTAATGTTATGCACTCATGTATATTTCCATCTTTTTTTTTATTTATTTCTACCTCTTCTTCCCACTTTTCTTTGGACCTAAATGATTGCTGAGTAGATCATTTGTTCCACCCCAATCTTTGTTTTACTTGAACTTGATCCGAAAGATTTGGACCCAGTATTGCATTGGTCATTCATTCTTTAATTTAATGCGTAATTTTTTCTGATCTGAAATTTTTGAGATTCGTGGAAAACGACCTAGGTGGCATTAGGGCAAACTTTCTACTCAAAAGAAATTTTAATAAGATACATTTTACTTACGTTTAGGTCCTTAGGACAAACTTGATAGTTGTTTTATGAATTACTATTTGTTTTCTGACATATAGTTGTCTATATTCTAATTTAACAGCAAATTTAATTTTATCATATGGTACGTTTTGTTTTACACATTACAAGTTTAATCCCTCATGTTTCAATTGGCTTCCTTCTTATTCATCAGACGCACTTATATACCGATTCGCTGTCCGAATTGCTAGATCAAGTCTGTAATCCCATAAGTTTAGAAGCATAAGTCATAAAATATTGAAAAGGAAATATGAGGGACTAAGTTGTAAACTATTGCCAATACTATGGCTTGTCTATGTGGAAAAAAGAAAAACAAAACACCAAGAAATTACATTGAAACTTATCCAAAAGTGCAATTTTCCAAATACGATTGTAGATAAATAACCTACACATTTTAGGTGAATTTGCCTAGAGATGGCAACGTGTGGGATAAAACTCGATACTTGATGGATAATTTGAACTTTGATAGTGAGAGGTTTTGGTAATGAGAGTTAAAACTCAAAGGACTACCTAATAGAATTTGATAAAAAAATTTGGATATGCAAGTTAGAGTTTGATAAGAGAAATTTTTTAGGATACCTGACGTGTTGCCATCCCTATATTTACCAAGAAGCATAAACCCCAGATAGCACCTCTAAGTGCTTATACTTTGGTTTGGAGGTGTGTTTTCCTTCAGGTCTCCCTTAATCCAAATGGATTTCCCCTAACAGTAGTTAAATAAGGATAGGTTAAGTGTTGCTTGTTTTTTTTTTTTCAAGGGACCCGCAATCACTACTCGAGAATGCGCACTGGATAAATTCAACCAACTTGTACAGTAGCCTGTAAATCACCTGGAGGGGTAAGACACACTAAACAAGTCCTATGCGACAAATAGATGTCCCAAGAGAGGAACGAACGCTAATTGTAACATGTTCTACAATTCACTAATTTTGTACACGTATAGGTCGACAATTGCATAAGTAAGCTACACTAAAACAAAATTATTGCTGCAGAGATGCATTACATACTCACAAATTAACTTAATCATTTTATGCTAGCTCTTACAAGATCAGGTTATCATATTTTTGTCTATGCTTAGTCATTATGCTTTGACAAAGTTTTATTCAAAGTTAGTTCACTTGTGCAAAGATATTTTTTTTAACTCGTACAAGGAACATCGCCATGTGGCCGATGTGGTTCCAAATTAATTTTCCCAACAGATCCAGAAGCCGTATGCATTTTAAAGACACTATGTCCTATAGAAGACCATTTGGCTTGACTTATTGGTTAGGTGAGATGAAATCTTTAATTACACTTTTCATGACCAATTAAATAGTTAGGCCCTTTGAATGTATTTTGGTTAAAAATGGTTTCTTAGCCTATTCATTTTGACCTGTTAAATACCCCCGTATAGATTATAAAGTGAAAAGGACATCCGAATGGGTAGAATTTTTGAGAAAAAAAAAAAAAAAAGCATTCGAACACGATTGATTTGTTCTTGCCTAATTAGGTGTTCTTTTGGTTTAAGAACAATGACTGGGTAAAATTTTTTTTCCCGAGTGGATTAGGTTGATGACTGATTTTGTCATCTTGCTTTTCCTCGTATTCCATAATCATGCACACATGTAGCTATTTTAACCTGGTTCAAATCTGTGATCCTTGTTTTCAATTACTAACTAACTTATACTAGTCAAAGTCTAAACATTTTGTATCCATCCTCCTTGGTTGAAGTCACTCGTGGAGCATGGGGAGAAGCTCTATTTCTTAGCATCCATCAATATTTCATCTTTATATAAAACTTGATAACCCATATGCGTTAAAAAAAAAATCTAAGGACCCGAAAAAAAAAAAAGGAAGTCCATTTTCGATTCAACTGATTTTTGTACTTTAGTATGTGTATGTAGCTTTCTACAAAGTGATTAAAAAGATGTCAACAACAATCAAAGATGAGATGATAAAACCTCCAGGTGATAGATACAAATAACTTTTTAAGTATTAAATGCCACACAAGATAAAGAATAATGGTCCATTCTAGTTTACTTGTGCCCACATGAGTGGTGATAGGTTTTCTTTCAAAATTCGATGAAATTCATCTGTCTCAGCAAGTATTTCACTTGGCAAGAATGAAGCAACCTCATATAATGGTTTAGTCTTTAATACTGACTAGATTGAACTTTAATACGGCTATTTATCAACCGGTTAGGATCCGTTAAATAAGATATATTGAGTCGTCTGGATTTTATCATTTCAGCCATGCAGGAGAGTTTGGAATTGGATAGAACATAGAAGCCCAGGCATATACATGAATAGGGTTTTGCCATATGGAAAAGTCCATGTATTTGGATTGAATTTTTTATGATGGACTAAGGTAATAGACTGGCTCGGCCTGTGATGACTTTCGAATAGGGTCTTTCGATTACACTTTCACATAGAGTTGAAAGACAAAGTAAGTTGTTAGTATTTGAATCGGATTCGAATTGATAAAAGCTTGATTCATCTTGATTTTTATTCCTTTTCAAATTGGTTTGTTAATTAATGACATTAAATATAAGTAGTATTTTGTGTTCGGTAAGTTTCAACTTCAACTTGAAATTGACTCGACTAGTTTAAAAATTGAAATTTACAATTTAAATTGCTCGAGTTTGGTTTGATGAATTTTTTTTTTAAAATTTGGCTTGATAAATAAACAAAACACAATTTCAAATTTGCTAACATGAATAATGAAGCTTGAAAACTATAGTATTTTGCTTGATTAACCTCATTTACATCTAACATCCTTATTTGCTAACAAAATGAAAGCCTTGTAATTTTCCATTCTGTGTGATTATAAAAGCCTGCAAGAATGTAAAAGACATCCAATTCCTTTTTCATTTCATTTGTTGATCCAAACAGTTAATGAAAAACAGATGTTTGGAGATTATGGGTGAGAATAGTGGCCTGATCCATGAGAAATCCACTGCTTATCCTTGAGAAATCGGCTAGTTAGAAATAATAATAATCAAACAGCATGTGGCCGCCAACTCCTTCAAACTCTCACCACAAATGGAGAAATGGCTGCCTGTATCTCTTAACAGTGATTACTGCAACTATCATAGATATTTTACTTCCAACAATGAACTTGCACTGCAGCCTGGATCACTCCAGTTGAGAGTTGTAGGTGCAATTTTCCCAATGTTATTCTCCTAAAACAAGTCTATACAACAACCAAAACTCGAGTGCAACAAACAAGATAGTACTATTATACATTTAACCTTGTATAACAGACATAATGACTAGAACACGCCATTGGAAACTATACTATTTGTAACACAAAATATATTTTGACCCGAGCTATTCAAAACAATGCTATTTGTAGAACAGATGCTGCAAATAGCAATCAGGAATGTAGATCTGGATATGATATCATTGCAAGAAACTGGCAAGGCAAAGACAAAGAACACAGGCTATTCCTGACCAGAAATATACTGGGCCTGAAGGTTGAGAACTGTACTTCAATTAAAAATGCAGCCGGGCCGAGTCAAAAACTTTAAATAATAACTTTTGCACCCAATTCTGGATCGTAAAAGAGTAAAAGTGTTAATAAGCTTGAAAGTTTTACCCCAACTAAAATGGCCGGAGGGGCCGAGTTGGTATACTCTGCTCGTTCCTGAAGAAATTTTCAGGATCTATCATGGTCTTGACTTTCACCAATCTGTAAAAATTATTTTTGAAATATTTGAGCCCATAAACTCTTCCTTCGTTGTAACTGTTCTTCCCGTTGTCTGTGGTTCCAATATCAAGGTCCCTGTAATTCAGAAAAGCCTGCCTAGGATTTTTTGAAACAAAAGGAGTCATCAAACTGTATAGCACCCGTGTCTGCTCTATGTACTTCTTGGCAAATCTAGGACCTTCTTCCTGCCAAATCACTAAATACTCGATCTTGAAAATGATCCCAGAACGATGAGGGAAAGGCGTTTCGCTTTCTGGAATTTCACTCATTCTTCCGCCATAAGGATTGAATTCCAGTACTGTTTTATTTAGCTCAATCACTTTCTTGAATATTGAGGCCAGCCCATGCCTTGGAATTGGATTCTGCACATAATCTGATTTCCTCTTCGCGAAGTTGGCATAAGTCTTGTCAAGGATGGCTTCCATGGGTGTACCACTCGCGTAACCTTCCCACCGGAGGAGTGATTCACCCCAACTCATTTCCAAACAGTCCTGTTTCTTCAATCCCAATTCAGAAAATCTTCCATTCATAACTGATAAGAGTCTATTGGCATCTCCAAGGAATAATGCTATAAATGTTGCTCCAATTGTAGTCTGACTCTGCCCATTGATTTGTTCAGTAACTGGTTGGACCAGAACTCTGATGAAGAGATCATTGTCAATCGTGTTGGCTACCTGTTGCCAGCTATAAACAAGATCTGTTACATTTTCTTCCATGGTCCTAACAATCCTGAAAAATGTTACAATTTCCGGTACCCTGACTAACTTGATTTTGTACGCCAAAACAACGCAAAAACTCGCACCACCACCACCCCTAATAGCCCAGAAAAGATCTTCCCCCATTGCTTCCCTATCCAAAATCCTGCCTTTAACATCGACGATTCGTGCATCAACAACATTGTCTACAGTTAGGCCG